TGAGAAGCCCGTAACTGTCGAGTAATGAAGGCCATTTCAACGTGTCACGTTCGACATCAATTTTAGCGATCACTTGAGCTATGGCATTCTTCAAATCCGTGACGCGTTGGATCATCGCGTCCAACGCTGCATCCAGATGTTTTTCCGTTCTCTAGAGTAAAACTCACAATTAATCCACTCGTTTCCAAATGCGGACGTGAAAATAAATTGACTCACCTGCATGTTTGCAGGCCCAAAATCAATCCCCACAAACACACAAACAAATAGAATCGTCTGAGAGACAAGAAAATCGTAAATTCACACAAAATTGTTGAAACAAGGGAGAGTTCAAAGTGATTCACACGCTACTAGGATCACAAATACATACATATTTTGGTTAGTTATAAACATTATTTGCTTTTCTAAACACGGCGCAAAAAGGGTACACTTGTTTGACGCCTGGGAAAGGTATGAAACAATTTTTTGAAAGTTTCAGAGCAGAGAAAATCGTGATCTGACACGCGAACTATTTGCAGGTCTAGTAGCGCGTGAAACACCCTGTACTAAATATGGGTCATTGAAATTTCAAAGCAATTTTCTCAATAGACGAAAATGCATTTCAACCGGGCGAAAAAAAAAAACAACTCGGAACTTTCGAAAAATGCCAAATTTGAGCACAGGTCGTCCATGCTTTTAAAAAAAGTACCAAAACGTTAAATTAAAAAAAAACAGATCACGGCAAATAGCTAGTTCTTTTTATAAACTTCAGGCAATAAAACGCTCAAAGCCTGCCTTATCGATTGGTAAACAATGTTCTTGATCTGCAATTTGTCCTCACGATTCGCATGAGCGGCCGACAGCCGCCTGAATTCCTTCGTCAACTCGAAACACTTCTCCAGGGTTTCACTCGAAACAAAATCTTCGGCAACTTTGATACAATTCAGCAAATTCCGGACCTAGATTCAAAAAATAAATAAAATGAAAAACAACAAAGGAGGTTCGCGATCAATGAAACCTCGTGACATCTAGTTTTCAATGAGACAAATGAGCGGAATTGAGACAAATGAGACAAAATGAGCGAAATTCTTCAACGAAAAAAAAAAATTCGTATGCGCGCTAAATTCAACAGAACTTCAAGGATACAGTATCTGATTTTCGGAAATCAATAAACCGCACTGTTTCGCTCTTGGCACATTTAGGGTGACTCACTAAAAATATGAAGAAGTTTCTCCAACTCGTACATCAAGTATTGACAATACAGTAATGGAATGCTACAGAAATCGAACATCATTCATCCAAATACTGTAGTATACCCACCTACCGTGTATTCACTTTACAATAAGAACTGAATAAATGTGTTATCCAGTGTGTGCGTCGATGAAGTTCGCGAAGAGATTTAACCTTTGTTGAAGACATTTCACCCTCAGAAAAATTTTCGTTATTTATTTTATCTTACGTTACATGTTCGGAAGATAAACAGAAGAAACCGAGCTTTATCAGAAAATTGACACAAATTTTAATGGTTAAGTACTTTACGACTTTAGGACAGTGAATGATGCACTGTTTACACTATCACAAGGTGCTTCAAGCAGCAACAATAATTAAACAAGAAAGACATCCGTCGTTGAGTCGGCACCTAATTTTTTTTACAGAGTTCAAGAAGTTTTAGGACAGCTCAAGTCCTATGTCGTCGCAGTCTGACTAATTCCGAATATGAGAAAAAGCCAAGTGTCCAAATATAAAATTACGCCTAGTTTCTCATCAGCTCATAGTCAAACCTGTATTTAGTGACGCCCTTTGTCATGGAACATTTTGTGGCACAAAGCAAGGGTGGCAATGAATCGAGGGTATTTTAAGAGGGGAAGGTTGAGTTGAGGGTTTCCATTCTAGGCAAAATAAGCTTGTTTACAAAATTGTTTAGGCCACTGAGTCTGTTATATGAGAGAGAAAGGCACAAAATAATTCAAAGCTTAAATATACTGGTTTTTATTCTATATTTTTTTTTAAGTATTGAAACAGAATACAGTTAACAGATTTGTACACATATTATTTTTCAGAAAAGGGCAGAGCTGAACTGCGTCTTGGGATTTTGTTTGCATTTGAGTTTTACATCATATGCCATCAAGAAGGAATCGCCACTGTTTCCAGGAAAGGTTAAACTTTTCAAAATTTTTAATGAAGCAAGATTTCATGAAAGAACAATAATATTTTTCAAGAATGTAAATGTAAAAATAGAATTTTCAGAAGGATCCGATTTTTGAATCTCAGTTATAAACCAATGACATCCATAGAAAAATGCCATAATTTCTTTGATTTCGGCACATTTTTCATCCATACAGATTTCTCATGGCACTAAATTGGGGCTTCCCTTGAGAACACAAAGGAGGGAGATTTTTTCCAGGAAATTTTGTGGCACTATGCGAGGGTGGCACTAAAACCAGGGTTGGCTGTATCTTTTCCTCTCTCATCTTTTTTGGAGCTTGAGGGGTTTAACAAATTTGGGATTATTGTACTCCCAGATGACGGGAACACTAAAAAACGTATGATTAACCATCTCCGTCGACAGTTCGCAGGTGACTAAAATTCTTAGACTGATCTCCATATAATCCGTATTATTGCCAGGCATCTTTTTCGTACGTTCGCGGAAATTAAAAAAATAAATCTACAATTCATTTAAATTTCAAAAAAAAACAGGCAGATGATCATGAGGTGAGTAAATTCTTGGACTGATCTCTGCGTTATCTGTATTATTACAACGATTTTTTTATTTTCAAGTTCGCTAATATTTGGGAAAAAAGCTCTTCAATAAATTTAATTTCAAGAAAAACAACAAAAAAAGATCATGATTCTCACTTGATGCGGAGCACCGGCAGGGATGAAAACAGCGTCGCCCAGACATTGCACAAAGCCATAACCGAGCACACCATATTCCTCGCGCAGCCTCTCCCGAAGTGTGTCGTCCAGATACGTTTGTTGGTCATGGATCGGATCCGAATCCGCTTTGACGCGATGTCCCTTTTCGGCGGCGATTTTTCGCAAAAATCGCCGAATCACGGGGGCATCTTTCGCCTCATAAATATGCCACAGGGCTCCGGGTAATCGATCGGTTTCATTTATGGCTTCCAGCGTAGACAGATCTACTCCGGCCAACATGAGCGCCCGAGTGGCTTCTGAATAAGTGGACCAGGAAAACATGGACAGGCGTCAGATTACATTTGTCCGGAACGATTCCGATTCATTTTCCAAAATTACGGTATGGACCAAGCAGTTCAATCCACTTCGACGCACGACCTTCCCTTCTCGAATACCACGGAAGAGTCAATTTAATCACGAAGTTGACCACGAATAACACAACGGAGTCTATCCTCACATAACTGTACGTTGACTAATTTAATCCAATGTTGCATAACAAAAAATCTCATAATTCTACCGAATTCACCATATCCTCATACAGACTCATCAAAATGCAACGAACTCCAGAAAATACCAATACTGTACGAAGACAAATAATTTACCATCTTAAAATATCATAAGCTCGACAGATCTTCTTCAATCTGTTACAGAAACGATTTTTCTTTCTTCCTTTGCCAAAATTGGGGAAAATGCAAGCACACAAAAATTAAAACCTCGGAGTTCCGCGATTTTCAAAGTAAATATATACTGCACATGCAATAAAGTACAGGTAGACTCTCTCAAAAAAATTATTGCCTCGGCATATGTTTTTGTCCGATAGACATCATGGTTCTACAGAAAAATTCTCTCTACAACGCATTTTTTTATGGTCCACTGAATTTAGTTATAGAGAGAGTCCACCTGTATCTGAACGTAAGTGAGGTCAACATTTCTCTCAAGTTCAAATTCGGCTTCGCAGCGTTCACAAATTTTTTTCTAATGTTTCAGTTACCGAAAAAAAAGCTTATTCACGTCCATAATAAGGCGTATAACAGGGAAGGGTTAATTCGGGAGCAATTGGTTTTAGTTTTTGTTGAGGCTAATTTCAGCTTTTTGGCAGTCACGGATTTTAAAACAGGGCGACTTGAAGATCAGTCTACAATTCTCTTCTCTGTGTAACTCTTCTTCTAGGTCAGTCCGCATAAATGTCCAATTTTTCTTTTTCAACTTTTTTTTGGAAAGTATAAATAGAATAAGTTGGGCTCGGTTTTATAGACAGAAGGTCGTTGAATCAAAGTCATTGGGACCCAAAAAATCCTTCATAATGAAAATCTGTCAGAACGGGACCTCAAAGACGCGATTTTCATCAGTCTGAACTGCGACGACCTTTCAAAAATTCGTTGTAAGCAAAAATCTGATACAGTACAAGGAAGTTTTTTTAAACCACATGATGTTAGCCGTGGTTCGCTCATTTACGTTGCGAACGGTTTTTTTTAATGGCACGGCTTATGAGTGATTCAGTTAATAGCTCAATATTGTCGTAAGCCGAGTCATGCGATGAGTCAGGCTAAAAACCCATGACAAATAAGCAGAAGAACGATAGTAACTGCAAAAGAAAAATCTTCAAAATTCATGAGAATAAAACGCGATACCAACTTTTCAATTCATCCTGCAGTTCGCCGCTGCTTCCGACATACGCCATCACGTTCACTGCGTCGGATATATCCAGATGCAAATTAGTCGTCCCAAGCATGGGGTTTCCAGCAGACCCATAGGCAATGTACATCTTCGGGCCCAGATCAGGAGGCAGGAATTGCGACGGAAGATACGAGGCGAGGTTCATTATGCCATCCCGTCGCGTAAAAGGCGGGATCGGAAGGGCCTGCATCACATCTCGGAAACGGTCGGGCATCACGTCGGCAAAGTCGGCTCCGGGTGGCCAATCCTTGAGCTTCAACAACATCGGCAATCCGTTTCCACACAGCATTCGTTCTGGAAAATTCGAAAGCCGAGAATGTCAGGGACCCATTGGATACGAAGAATACAGTACCAAGAATAATATTTGTGAAGGAGGCGCAGAAACATTGCGAATGGAATTTTTCTTTTTGCAATAGACTGCATCACTAAAAAATATTGTATGGCCGTTTCTGGGTTCATCTTGGTCACACGTGGATTCGCTGTGACAATTTATTCGTAGCATCAATGACTTAATGACTCTGGAAATCATACGGGACTTGACTATTGATGAAGATTACTTCGCGCGTATAATTGAAGAAAGTTTGAAAACACGAATAAATGTACAGGAACAAGAATAGTATTGTTAAAGATGCGCAGAAAAATTTCGAACTGCAATTTGTCATACGCAATTTTTTTCACAGACTGCATCACGAACATATATGATTCCTTCTGGGTTCATTTTAATTACACGCATCATACGAGGAGTCTAAAAAAAGTTCTTGACATATTAATTGGAATGGAATATGATCGAGCTGAAAAACTATTATGGTTCAGAAAAGAATTCTAGGGCGCAAAAGTTTATCTTTCAGCGATGCAATTGGTTAAATGACAGAAACGGATAATTAAATACTGTATGGTGTTTTTCAAGTGCCCTTACTTCTTATACACTATATACAGCATTGAACAATTTCCCATGGTGGATTTCGGTATTAATTCAACAGAAGAGTTTCAAGTGTGCAGTATCACTGTCTTATACAATCATGTCGATTCTCCAAAAATTGCCTTCGAATTTTCGAAAAAATTCTGTCCAGAGACTTTCTCCCAATGGAAAAAAATATATATGCCCCCGCCAACATTCCAACAACGTATATGGAGCTTTAGTACAATGATATTCTCCTCATAGTGAATCATTTTCTAAAATCTTACTCTTTTTGTCGTCGAATCCGTCCCAGAATTTTTTCATGGGTTGATTAACGAGCACTTTATCGGTCAAGCAGTTCACCAAATCATGCTCCTCTTCGCCAAAATCATCCGAGAATTTACTCGGCCTCCACAGACTGAGATCCATTCGTTTTCCGATGTTGCTCACTATTACCGGCTGTCCAGCACGCCATTCCCTCTACGACGAAATAAATAAACCATAATAAATTAAAACAAAGTTCAAGCCATGTATGCAAAAAATTAAAACAGAACATGGAACTTCACGCTTCAAGAAATGTCGGAGAAAACCAGGAAGGAACAAACAATTCGCAACCTTACGTAGCATTTGACGTCATCCGAAATTGAATACATTTTAGAATACATACAGAAAGGAAGTGTTTAAAATGCGACTTTTCCAAACATTTATGCAACGAAGTGTTTCACTAAATCATTGTGAATTAGAAGAGTTTTATGAAATAACTCAAGATTCTTCCGTAACTAGAATATTTTCTGCATCGACTCCACTTCGCATGTTATCTCATTTCTTCATTAAATCAGGAGAGGAAAAGCAATCGTTACGCTTAAGTAGCATCTGACGTCATTCAAAAATGAAAACATTTCAGAATACGAACAGAAGGTGAAAATATATGAATTAAGATACAAAATTTTTAAAATGTGTGTTTTCACAAAATTACTGTAAATTGGAAAAACAGTTCCATGCGATATCTCAAGATTTTCCGGTAACTTGAATATTTTTTGCATCCACTCCACTTAGTAATACTGTATTCGCTTGTTCACTAGATTTTTACGCACGATCATACTCTCTGANCGCTTTTCCTCGCAAGCGCAACTGTAGGGAACTTTCAGTTCGTCTCTCAACGCATGCATCGCCTCGCTCATATCGAACAACAGGCTCCCAGGGATTAATTGTGTGAGCATGAGATCAGTGGAACAGTGATCCGGATTCTCTTTCGTGCAAGGTGGCCAAATGCGTCTCCTCTAGGAATAAATACAATTAAATCGTTGGAATCGAAGTGTGGTTTCCAAAAAAAATTTCTCCTGTCCTTCTCGATTTCAAAACATTTAGACATTTTTCTAAATCGGACGTGAGGAAAACAACAATTGAAAGAAGAAGGATACAATCGATAAGAAAGGAAATCTTGAATCGTCCGAACTTCCGGTGCTTGACCACAACATAAACCCTATGGAATATTTACCTAGATTATACAATAAACACTAACTAATAAAAATGAAAAAAAAAATCGGATAAGATAAACAAAAGTATGTTTCTCCCCTTCAACGTTGGAACATGCTTCCTGGAACATCTCGTTTTGAATCATAAAACCTTGAGAGGCACGACGATTTAAAATTAATGCAACAAGTCGGAACAGAATTAGGACTACACCTAAGTCATCACAAGCAACACCATCACGGATAAATGGAGTCCAAAGAAAAAATAATGGATTAATGAAAACATTTCAGAGGATACTGCATGACGAAAAAATCCGCGATGATCTTCAAATCCTCATCAAATCCCAGCAAAAGTCTTCACAAAACAAAACGCGAAAAAACCCGTACTTGACGACTTACAAGGAGGGCTTTGTCATCAGGATCCCGTTCTTCATCGGCTTTGTTTTCTTTGTAGCAGTCAATACAAACTCCGAAGCCACATTCTTTGCAAATCCAATGCAAGTTGAACAGAGTGGTTTCACACACATCACAAATATCTCGGACCAAAGGAGGCAAACGCTTATATGCGACCGAAGGCTTGTAATTTTGAACTGTAAAATTAGAGAGTAATTTGTTTAGATATGTTGTCGAATGAAGTTTGAAAAAAGACTTCAACTCACCTTCACAGGATTTCGAATGCAAATCCAGAACCTCCTGTTCTTCTCTGACAATGCGACAAAAACAATCACCAACGTTGGACAGCATCTTACCAGCGGAAAGTTTCAGTTTTTCCGGGGAAGTCTGCAGAGCGGATTTTGTGGGTAGCCAAGGTTCGAATTCTTCCTGATGAGGAAAAAACACATTTAAATTGAATTTTTAAAAAACAATACGCCTTCTAAATACACTGATCTACATAAATCTCCTGATTAATCATAAAAATTCCAGTACGTCGCTTCTTGCCGTCAAGCCAAGTAAAAATCAATTTCGCGAGGTTGGAATACTGTCTGTTCGATTACAATGAGCACATTTGAATACACAAAAACGACAGTAAGTGCATAACAGATCTACGAATGAACATGTTTTGCACAATACGCGGTTAAAGGCCTCAAATTCTTGTGGACATTCTTCATTTTAAAAACGAATTCTTCTTTTACTGGTTCTCACAAAACATTAAGCAGCTTGCATCGGTAGAAGCTATCAAAAATATATATGCGCATTGAAAAATCAGGAAATAAGAATTTGTATACATACGGAAAATTTCAATTATTTGTTCATCACAAGACAAATTTGTTTAGCGCGGAGATTTTTTCAATGACAGTCGAAGTCATTTTAAAGATTTCACTCGATTCTTCTCTCGTTCAATGTGCTTCTGGGTTTCTCATTTTTGCAGGAGCATTGCCAAAGTTGCATAGACGGATTGTTCAACTTCTGGATATACTCGTACATTAATTTATATCGAATAATGAGGACGAATATGTAAGCATATAAAATTCTTCAAAAATGAACATCTCAAACTCAATGAACTTCTGCATCAGTTTCACGCAAGATTTAACCATATCGAGAATTAGACTTTCACCTTTCCCACTGCACAATTTACAGGCACCTTTCATCTACTCATCTTAGGAGTTAGAACCCAACGATAAAATCAAGATCTGTATTATTCTTCGCGCAAAAAAATTGACATTCTCACTGCGGTACTCACCGGGTTCGAAATGTAGGAATACTTGAGAAACCCGACACTGGGCTTAACAACATTGCGTCTGAAGATGAATGTTCTGAAGTCTTGAAACCGACACAGCCGATCGGAAGACCGGCCATTTTGTTGGGCGCTGACGCACTCGCGACACTTGGGAATTTCCCCGTAAACGGTTTTATCCTGCGAGATCAGTTCTCCGCAAGTACGGTTCTGCGTCAAACACGCGAACACTTCCCCGGGTTGCTTATCGCTAAAATCCAACTCTTCGCGATGAAGAGCTTCGAAATATCGCGCAGACGACAACAAATTCTCAGCTTCCGCGTACATAGTCCGAATGAAGTTCCTTGAGATGGGGAAACGAAAGATAAATCAATACAAGTTTGATCTCGGTAAGATTCGCAGTTCGGCGAAGTTTCAAAGGAGCCAGTCAGCCCATGATGAATCAATGGAGAATTTTGAAAGGGGTTTGGATTGTCGCAGTTGAAAATTTCTTCTTGCATTTCCGTCATTATCTCGAGCACTTTTTATTTTTTCAAGCACTGTACATTATATTTTTCCTAGATCGCTCGGACAGGATTTTAATTTTTTTTCGCAGCGCGATTTCTTCGTGAATCTAGAAAATGTTCCTTCGTTTCTCTGGATGGAGGCCATGATGAAGGATTTTTCAAATCCTTCACTTGAATAGCACGGTTAGTATTAAATATTTTGTCCCACAAATTTTGCTTTGGTTCGATTAAATAGCATCCAAGAAAATTGCAAATTATCCGCAGGATGAATTCTCTAATACTGTAGAACACTTGCTTTCCGGAGTTTGACGATTTCTCAAAGCAAGAATTTTTTTCTTGATTTACAAGCAGGACGTCGCGTGGCATTCGTAGCATTTCATGTAGAATCGCAATCGCTGTTCTCACTGCAATTTCACTTCGAGAAACCTTTAAATTTTTCGGAAATTTGAGCAACTTAGTGCTTGGGGAAATTTTCCTCAACTCAATTCAATTAGATAAATTCAGCTTTTATTTATTAAAGCCAGTGCTAAAGCCATTGTTATTTGCTTGTCAGCCCTTACTTCTCAACTTTTCA